AGGGAGCTAGCAGCAGGCAAAAACGTCACCGGTCGCTCCACCAAGACATCCTCCATCCTCAGGAAGAAGTTGAACCCACTGAGTTTTTGCTGACAAGAGCTTGTGTGGGTCAGGAAAGAGGCTGAGAAGCCCTGCCTTGTAATCCCTTGTGCCTCATCCTTGAGCCCCAGCTAGTAGCTGAAGGAGGTTAGGCACAAGGCAGGGGTGGTTTCCCTCTGGTTCTCACGGATGGAGCTAGACCCAAAGTTCCCAAAGTAAAGAGCGTGTATTCTCATTTCCATCAGCGGCATGACCCTTTTGCTGTGTTCCTACAATGCAAGCTGTCTTTGACTCCCCGGTAAGGCAGCCGAGGTCTAACCTAGCCCACTAATCTAATTTTTCGTCCACTATTCTCTAACTGCTAGAGTCTAACAGATACCTTCTGCTCAGGAGGGTCAGGAATGGTTCACCACCTGCAATACACAACTCACCTGTCCCACATCTGCAAACTGAGGGTGCTGCTTCTCCCCCCCAAAGTCTGCCTATGTCAGGAACCAGCTCATCTGCCCCCTCTTCAGTGACGTCTTCTATAACCACTGGAGCCCAGTCTGACGTATCTTTTCTCTTTCTATACTTAGGATCAATCCTGCATGGTTTAGCATTTAATTATTCTCCAATTATTTTACCTACCTAACATTTCCTATATATTCTGCAACTCATAAAGAAACCTGCTAAAAGAAAAATCAGCTATCCCCAAAGAACTTTCTTTTTGACTATTCTGAACCCTGCCTATTTTAATAGAACACTGGCTTCTTGGCTGATACTAATAAAACAACTATATTGAAAGGCATGGACACTTAGATTAAATATAAACCATAATGTTATCATGTTTCACGGACAATTGCCTTGATAACTATGAATTATACCTGAAGTTTTAAAAAGATATATAACTTTAAATGTTAAAATTATTTGGTGATTTTCTTTTCACTAACTACAAGCATTTTGTACATATGCAATTTTTTGCCTGTTTTCATGTCAACTGAGGGGAAATAAAACAGAAGATAAGTAAATTTTTTGCTAAAATTATGATTATAAAGGCTATAGAACATGTCCAATACAATGTTTAGTTTTCTTTAAAGGACAGGAATGGTATATATGTTCAACATAAATTAGATATCTCTATGAAGACTGAAACGTGAGATATGAAACCTTGCCTTGTAATTCCTTGTGCCTCATCCTTGAGCCCCAGCTAGTAGCTGAAGGAGGCAAAGGCACAAGACAGGGGCGGTTGTGTCAGAGGGGAAAGATAAAGGTGATATTCTTGTTTTCAAAATTCAATTATATTTTTCAAATTTATCTTTCTCCAAAATCATTTCATAAGATAAATCGGGTGAATATTGACTGATCAGAAGGCTTCCTTTACGAACTTTAGAAATAAATCAGATTTTCGTATCTGAAACAGCTCCAAGCTTACTTACCAGCTCAGTGTTCTAAACCAGGGTAGATCGTAAGAACGATAGACTCTGTAACCTATAGTGATAATTTCATGGAAGCATTTCACTTGGATGCTCAGAACCTGAAACCAAGAGAAAACATTAGCACACATTTCCCGATCTTTACATCTGGGCTTAATCATTCAAAAAAGCAATTTCTCGTTATATGCAATTTAGAAATCTTAATCTACCAATTTTAATTACTCTAAATGTCAGCAGCAAAAATGAAATACTCAATAGCTCTAAAATGAATGATATGCCCCAAAGGGGCAAGTAAATGCTGTTTTGTTCAAAAAGGCTTAAAAGATCCTCCCCAACTGGGTGGCACCATTGTTGAAAAGTGTGAGGGGGTACAGTCTGGCCTGTCACGGCTGCCCAAACTTTACCCCCATTACTGCTTCATTTCTTGAAATAGTCCTTCCCAAGACAGAATCTTTCTCTCCAATTTGTCCATTGTCTCCTAAGAAATCCTAGGAAAATGATCACGTGAAATTTTGCTTGCGTACACTTATTTTTAACCATACAAACAGTTAAAACATCTTTTACCCAGTTGCCCCAGGATGAGGCATGGTCTTTTTATCCTACCAGCCATGCCGACTCTCCCAGGGCAGCTACTCTCTGGTTCATCTGTGGCTGTGCTAATTCAAGAAATGATAAGCTGCCTTCTACGTCTGCAGCCACTCTGGCTGGTGAACTGGTTCATGCAGTTCTATGGTGTCCTAATCCATGCCTACTATATGGGCTTATATTGAAGAATCCCCTCTTGATGTTCTATTTTAACCGTCCTTCACAGTGCCATATTCCCCTATCTGGGTGAAGGTAATTTTTTAAGATGTGGCATTAGATCCAGTGTTCCGGTAATTCCAGTTGAAAAGCATCATGAACTAAGAGGTTAAAAATCTTTGTAAAGATGGAAGACTAACTTTTTTGCCCCTAGAGAGCATATCCAAAGGTTTGGTCTGAACAGCCCTCAAGCTAAGGATAGATTTTTGAATTTTTAAAGAGTTAAAAAAAGAAATCTAAGATTATGTGACAGAAACACCTATAGATCCAAAAGCCTAAAATATTACTATCTGCTCCTTCACAGAAAAGGCTTGGCAAAAACTGCGTCTGAAGCTACATTTTCCTTTAAAGTATGATTTATTTTTAAGATTTTCACAAATTAGCTTTCCCAAGCCTTCCTTTTAGACATTCCTAAACTGTTTTTCCCCATTATACCTATTATATGTCCAATCACATGCTTTTAAAAAGTAAATGTGTCCCTTCAGCCAAATAATTTTTAAAAAATTATAACAAATTACTGTAAATAGTACTTATAGAAAAAAGTCACAAGTGTGTCATAATATGATGACAAGAGGAAGTATAAATGCTATTGTTTAGATAATCTTTGCATATAATCAGAGAATGGGGACAATGCTCAATGTTCAGATAAAGTCATAAAGCCATGTTATTTACAGAAATGAGGCTTTTAAATCACCAAATGCACCGATGCATGGTCTATGAACATGTTTATAGACAGCGCCCACGAGCACTATACATAATATTTTACTCACAGGAAAGAGAAAAAGCATTTTTAATAGCTCACGTATATATTTATGTGACCATTAATTAAAATTGACAGGAGAGTATGAAACTGCCAGGAAAATAGAAAACAGAAGATCCAAACCACTGGAATCAGAATCCTTAAGCTGCCACATGTATCTTCCACAACGGGGTGATTACACAGAAATGGAGACTCCATCCTGTCAGTACCGGTAGCCATGTACACTGGTAAGACTCTGCTGGCCCAATTAATGTTTCCGAAGCCTTAAAAACAACCACCAATACTTAAGTGTCTACCTTTTCCTAGTTACTGAGGACCTACAGAAATAACACAAAGCATTTGTCCTCAGAGAAGCACAGTCTATAACAAGACCAGGTGGCAGAAGCCAGGTGGAAGTATGGAGAAGCAGACAGAGGTGGCGGGGCTGTGATGGACCGCTTGAACTCAGGAGTTAGAGACCAGACTGAGCCAGAGTGAGACCCTGTCTCTGAAAATAGCTAGGTGTGGTGACAGGTACCTGTAGTCCCAGTACTCAGGAGGCTGAGGCAAGAGGATCACTTGAGCCCGAGAGTTTGAGGTTGCTGTGAGCTACAACGCCACGGAACTCTACCAAGGGTGACAAAGTGAGACTCTGTCTCAAAAAAAAAAGTATTTAACATAAACATCATGTAAACATATGGATGAGGCCAGACAATTAAGTTCCCAACTCACCCTAGAAGGGCGACAGCCTCTTTGCTGAATATTGCCACGGTCACCTTCAAAGTACGCCCCTTGGGAAGCTATGCTCTGATGTCAGTGCCTCGTCCACCCTTTAAAGCAATTTTGGAACCCTCTTTTCTGGAGTGACCATTAGAGTTGTTGTCATATGAGGGCTTGACAATTAAGTTTGCAAACTCATCCTAGAAAAATTGTTTTGAAGGGTGAACTAGGTGCTGGCGCTTCACAGGTAACCATAGGGGTATTCAGCAATGAGGTATGTAGCACTTTTCTAGATTGAGTCATGTTTGAGGCTGAGGCAAGAGGATGACTTGAGCCCAAGAGTTTGAGGTTGCTGTGAGCTATGATGCCACTGCACTCTACCAAGGGTGACAAAGTGAGACTCTGCCTCCAAAAAAATCAGTATCCAAATATATGCATGCATATCTTTAAAAGTATTTTGAATTCTGTCATAAGAGAGTAGTTAAAAAATAGTCTTTATCTACAAATGCTTGCCCTAATTACTATTCTCAATAATGTATTTTTGGCAGTGAGGCCGGGGGGTGGGGGTGGGGGACATGTAACTGATTCCACAGGGAAGCCCACCAAACCAACCTAAGCCAGTATGCCCAGGATACTGGTGGTTGTGGTCAGCAATATTTTAGGTCAAAATTTTCTTGTAAAGAGGAATAATAACTCAATTGGTCCATAAGAGCTTCAATGGCTCCTCACTACTTTATAAATAAAACCCAAACTTTTTACAGCAGGTGTTCCCAAACTACAGCCACAGGACACATGCAGCCCACCTAGGACATTTATCCAGCCCACCAGGTGTTTTTGCCACTGCTGCCTGTCCTGCTTAGCAGCTGACTCATCCTGGACCCACAGTCCGGCCCTCCAATGGTCTGAGGGACAGTGAACTGGCCCCCTCTTTAAAAAGTTTGAGGACCTCTGTACAGTATTGCAAAGCCCCCAGAATCTGATGCCTAATTATTTTTCCAGTTTCAAAGGCACTGTGTTCATGGAAAAACACCTTTTTCTGACACATCTAGCCACTTGAACCTTTGATCACAATGCTTCCTCTACACGGCCGATTACTCAAGGTCCCTCCATGCACACAGCCACCCTCAGCAGCCTGCCATCCCTCCGTCCCTTCTGGCCCAGGCCTGCCAGCTCACCACTGGGCACTGAGAAGTGCAGGGCACACAACTGCTTTGGAAACGCCCAAGTCCCAAGGCCCACGGGGGTCTCCTTAGCTCTCGGCAGGGCTCAGCTCTCAGAAGACAGGAGCGAGGGGCGCTTCTCTGGAACCACAGCTGGACAGTGCTCACCCCTGCCCACCTGGCTTTCAGAACCCAAGTCCTCTGCCCTCCTGTGAAGTCTGTCCTGTCCAGTACCCCAGTTTCCTTTCTAAGAAAAAGCTCTCTAAGCTATTGGCAAATTAACAGAACAAAGAAAGTAATTTCTTACTGTTTTCATTATCTTGATAGGCCCAAGGAAGTGCAAAATGAATGACAGGACAAAGTGAAAAGTGAAGGAGGCTGGCAGTGCTTCTCAGAACCACTTTACATGGTTTCAAGACTTGATGGAATTTTATTTAATCACGCGTAATTCCACTTCAAAACTTATTCTTTTATAAAACACCAGGAAAATCGTATCAGATTGCTCATAAACTTATAAGCTATAAACAGAACTGGGAGTGGAGGAAGGAGACCAGTGAGATGAACAAACGCATTTCCAAGTGGGCAAGAGCAGCCAGAGATGCAGGAGGTGAGTACACAGGAGGCCGAATCGACGGGGAAGGGCTGAAGGAAGCAATGATAATAGTAACTACGAGCAGGACGCGTCTCCCACCCGAGAGCACGCTCCCGCTCTCGCCGGCCACTCTGCCGGGCGCTCTGCAAGTGCTTGATCAATGTGTTGACCAAATGCACGTCTCCTTCTCACTCCCACACTTCAAGTTTTCATCCTCTGCCTGGGATGATCCTTCCCCCAAGCTCCTCCCTTCACCTGCAGCCTCCCACTCGGCCTTCAGACCCCAGGCGGTGTGCCTGGGACCGCGCCTCTGGGAAGCCTCCAGCTCCCTCCTTGCTCACACAGTATTACTCTTTCTTTCATTTACTGATGTTTGTATAATAATTATGTATGCAATCTGTGTGGCTTAACAATGGGGAGAAGTTCTGACATGCATCATTAGGCAATTTCTTTGTGTGATGACAGGGCGTACAAACACAAACAGAGATGGCACAGCCCACGACACAGCTAGGCTGTATATGCCGTACAGTTGATAGGAGTTTTTTGGCTCCAGTATAATCTTATGGGGCCACCATAGTATATGTGGTTCACTGTTGACCAAAATGTCATTAGGTGGCATTTGACTGTACATATGTGATAAATGCTTCACAGTGTAAACAGTAAACTCCACAAGGGCAGAGACGGCACATGTTTCTCAGTACCATCATATCACACACCAGAATTATTATAACGCCGAGCACATACCTGGCACCCTGGGAGCACTTGTTAGATGAACTAAGACTTGTTCATCATCATGACTTATTGGGCTTTTGACACATGACAAAACTCAGAACTTGCAGAATGGTTTCTGTTTGGCTCTCCAGTCTGATCCTTGACACCTGCACACAGACACCCACAGCGTCCAGGGGAACACGTTCTCTGACTACCTTGGAAAGCCTTCCCCTCCCCCGGCTTTGGGACTCCGCGGCGGCACCATCTCTTCCTCTCCTGGCCCTCACACTGATCAGGTCCTGCTCTCCTATGTCCTCCTAACATGTCCTATCACAGGACTCACCACACTTACCTACCACACTCTTTATTCATAGGGTTACTTGGATGTCTCTGCCATTTCATTGAGTTCCTGAGTTCCTTGAAATCGGGGATCTAGCTAGTAATCACTGATGCTGGGGTCATGTGTATTTCTGTCATATCTGATGCGAGATGTGTATTTCACAGACACATACACACATATCTGTTATGAGGACTTGGTCTCTGCTGAAGGAATACATGGAATGGCCACTTTGCAAACAGAAAAGATTAATAACTTGGATCATTTCAATCACTTCATGAAGGCACTTTTAAAGGAACTAAATTTGCAGAAGCCAAGTCTGGACTTCCCATCATTCTATTTTAAGGACATGTTTAAATTACTTCAATCATATACAAATGCTGAAAAAAAAACCAAGAGACACTCAGACAAATGTCAACACTTACTAAAAGCATCAGCATGAAGGACCCCATATAGATGATCAGGAAGAACAACGAAATCATAGTTAGAGTGAGAATTCCACGAATCCACCAGTTTTTCCACCTACAAAGCAAATGTTCATAAAGTGAGTATTTAATGTGCTTTTCAAGTTTTTTGGGTGGTTTCAGGATGCCATACTCAAGAATTTTTCCTGACTATACTTTAAGACTCTCCTACTTCACTTTCTATGATAACAGACACCACAAATGACTTTCATTCACTCGCTCAAAGAGAAATTAAATTTCATTTTTGTTACATGTGAGTGGGATGAATCATGAGGTTGGGGAGCCAGGTGGTCAAGGTGAGTGTGAAGGTCAGGCATCCCCCTGGGAAGGTGGGACAGACAGCACGGCCGGGCAATGAGAGAAAGTAACGAAAAACACAGAACTATAACTGGAGGGCACAGTGACTCCAGTGCAGTGAAGGAACAAGGTGCTGGTGACCCAAGGGCCAGTCACAGAGGAGAAGGACACAGGGAAAGGCACGTCCTTCTATTGCTCAACCAGTGCTGCCTGCTTTCCCTGACTAGGGGCAAATACTAGTCTTTGGCAGAAAAGTATTTTCTTACTCCTGGGCCTTTCCCTGCTCCCAAGAGCAGAGCTCCCGGCTGCTACACCGTGCTGGTGCCTGCTCTGCTGAGAACTGCTCTCCCCAGCTCTCCTCGGGAAGCATCTGAGACGCCCAACTGCCTCACCCCTACACGCCAGGAATCCCACACTCCCTCCCTAGTCCACCATACAAATATCACGGCTCAGGTGACATGCCATAAAAAATGTAGGCAGCCACTGTATGAAAAATCCAGAATGATTCAAATACACACATGACAATGTAATCTAAAAATCTGTACCCTCATAACAGTGTGAAATAAATTTTAAAAATGTGTTTTTATTTATTCCAAATACACACGTGCCGATTTCTGAATGTACCTATATACGGAGGGGGGTTTCTGAATATAATATGACTGCTGTTTTTAGGACATATCTGATTTTTACTAATTCAGATCACAGCATTTAAATTATACATAAGAGATTTTAAGTCAATTTAAAGTCCAATATCATAGACACACTGTATTCTAAGCACAGGTCCTCAGTCCCTTCATATGGCAGAAATACCAGCTGATTCCATCCTTTATAGGGTAGTGATTACATTCCTTGCTTTTAACCACTCTCCTATATAGCTTAGACACTCCTAACAAACTATTCTTCTTCAAATACCCTTTTTGTCATTTCACTTCCACACTCAAGGATCTGAAGAGCCAAAATGGTAGGTTCATAAACTTTTCTGCTAGCTTTTAAAGTTTTTCATGAGGTAGTCAAACTGCACTTACCCAACTTTATTTTCCTCCATTGTTTTGTTTAACAAACTAGGTGGACTCTTAAATTTCTCATGGGACTATAAGCTTGAAGGCTAAACTGAAAATGAGTGTAGAGTTAAAAATGTTACGGCTCCTAGGCACAGTGGCTCACATCGGTCCGTAATCCCGGCACTTGGGTAGCTGAGACGGGAGGATCTCTTGAGGCCAGGAATTTGAGTTCAGCCTTAGCAACAAAGCAAGACCCAGCCTCTACTAAAAAAAAATTTTTTTTTAACTAGCCAGGTGTGGTGGCACATGCCTATAGTTCTAGATACTTGGGAGGCTGAGGTAGGAGGATCTCTCAAGCCCAAGCCTTCCAGGTTGCAGTGAGCTATGATTGTGCCACCACATTCCAGCCTGGGTGACAGAGCGAGACCCCATTTCAAAGAAAAAATAAATGCTACAGGTAAAATGCTCCATTTAGCTCTATACTATGGAAATATAACTGTGCATTGATGAATGAATTAGAAAACTAGGCTAGGTCAGGAACCTAGTCAGACGTAAGTAAAGGACCATAGCCAACCCCTGTCCTGTCTATATAAAATCCATAAAGATATTTAGACCCTCTTTATAACTGACTCTCAGCCTCAGAATTATCCACAACCTATTTTGAAGATGAGCACATGACTTTAGGGACAGAATTCAGTCCCCAGCGGCTGCTGCCAACATCTAGGTGTTCCTCTGATGGCTGGCTTTGTGCTTCAGAGATTGGCAGTAGCTGAGAACCAGAGATTTTAAACAGGGAAGCTACTAATTTCCGATCATCCCAAAATTCCATGGCAACCCAAAACTGGGCCATTAAGGAACACTTTTGTTTTTCTGTAAAAGACAGGGTTTCGCTCTGTCGCCCAGGCTAAAGCACATAGGCACAATCACAGCTCACTGTCACCTTGAATTCCTAGGCTCAAGTGATCCTCCTGTCTCAGCCTCCAAATAGCCTGAATTACAGGCATACGTCACCATGCCTGGGTAATAAAAAAAAAAAAAAAGGAAAAGGAAAAACTTCTTGTAGAGCCGGAGTTTCACTATGTTACTCAAGCTAATCTCAAACTCCTGGCCTCCAGCCCAATCTTCCCACCTCAGCTTCCCGAAGTGCTGAGATTGCCTGAGTGAGCCTCTGCACCCAGCCTTGAGGAGCATTAGACCCTCCATAGTTGACTACCTCCCTACACTGACCACCTCCTTAAATTGACCTAATTCTTTATAAACCAGACAAGCACCACATACACATATTAGTAGAGTAGGCCTAGTTGCTTATGCTGACCACCTCTGTATATTGACCAGTTTGCTACAGCCCCTGGGGTGGCCAACTTACAGAGGTTCTACTGTATACAGATATTGTTGCTCTCAGAAAAATTCCCCTCTCCTCACAAGATTAAAGACTTAGTTCCCTTATTTTAATTTAAATGACATTAATTAAATTAAATGATTTAATTTAAATGATATATATATTGAATACTACATAAATACAACATATATATGTGTGTGTGTGTGTGTATATATATGTATATCCCCACTGATACGGTAACCAAAAATCATCTTTTGGGGAGAAAAGCACTGAATTCAAAACAGAGCACTGCACTAAAAAACAGAGGACAGTCTGGTTCTGAATTCAAAATTCTCCATCGCGTTTACCGCACTAGAGGAATCATGTCAGAGAAAGCCTCTATTTTGGATCCAGGTCATCACAACAAAGCCCTATCTCACGGATCCTTACTGGAAAAATGATGGGTGAACTGCTCCACACCAATATGTAACCTCTCACATATTAGACAAAAGTTTATATCTGCTTCACTCTTATACATTTTATAATTCATGTTATGAAAGCATACAATGAAGGTTAACAAACAGCTGATGAGCAAGTCTGTGGTCATTAAGCATTTAAGATAAAATGTAACAGACTGGAGTTTGAGACAATTTTAAGATCAGTTGAAAGAAACAAATTACCTATTTTGTTTGGCATTTGAAACACAGGGAACAGGGAACATGGAATGTTCTTTATTTGGTGTTCTAACCCCAGAAAGGCCACCTAGACATGGTAAATAGATTGCTGTGACCAGTATCTTCCTAGTTCTGTAACTTCTACCTGTTACCCTCTCAGACTTGGTTCTCTCATACTACGTAAGCTTGTAAAGATTTAGCAGACAATTTATGTCAAGCCCTTAGGACTGTGCCTCATATGTTAGGTCGTCAAAAAGTATAAGCCTTATGTCTCATAGTTCCAAACTTTACAAAAACTCATATTTAGTACACGACAAGCATAACCTCAAAGCTTATCTTAAGTGCCTGCGTCTGTTTATCTTCATCCAATCATACCTTGAAGATAACCCAGATAGAGCTTTCTTGAGAATCTCAGGGGTTCTATCTGAGGATGGTGGGATGTCTGGAATATCAGAATCTGTTCTGGAATCCAAATCTCCATATCTGTCATCAATATCTGTTTCCTAAAAGGAAGAAATGGAGATAAATCACTTTGCAAAATAATGTTTCAAAAAGCGCATGCTTGTTACGGCGTTTATTTATTGCTCAGTGTACCAGATTGCAGTTACATAATCTGAAAAAAAGAAACAACTATTAACTCACCTTAAGTATTCAAGTACTGTTATACTTTGTTAGGAAAGTTTATCTTTGCTAAAATTTGTCAATATGAAGGATCACCTTAAATTAAAGACATAAAAGAAGCACGTTGTATACTTTGAAAAATCAGAAGGCTACCAACAAAATCAATTCCGTTTTGTTTTACTACTTAACTGAGAGAACATGGTGTGATTTCCATGGAGATTCTGATCAGGTGCTCAGTTCCTTTTTTGATTCGATTACAACGAAAGCATCAATAGTCAGAGTAATATCTTACATGAACATAGCATTTTATAAATACTTTTAAGCATCTTAACTTCCATCACTTTTATTAGACCTTTGGGTGACAATCCCAATGAAGCAGGTCAAATAGACAGCATTTTTAGGCTCGGCACCTGTAGCACAGGGGTTATGGCACTGGTCACATACACCAAGGCTGGCAGGTTTGAGCCTGGCCTGGGCCAGCTAAACAACAATGATAACGCCAACAAAATAATAGCCAGGAGTTGTGGCAAGAGCCTGTAGTCCCAGCTGCTTGGGAGACTGAGGCAAGAGAAGATCTTGAGCCCAAGAGTTTGAGGTTGCTGTGAGCTGTGACGCTACAGCAATCTACAGAGGACAACACAGTGAGAGTCTGTCTCAAAAAAAAAAAAAGATATCATTTTTATTTTACTGGCAGGTAAACTACAATTGAAAGCATTTGCTTTGGTAGTGAGATTTTCTAAGAAGTTATTTACAGCCCACACTGATATATGATAGTGCACATACTAGAGCTGTGTATGTTGGGGTGGCAGGGAGCCCCAGGCCCTTAGACAATGGTGGTCACAACAAGTGCCAGGGATGGGGTGGCCAAAGAAATTTTAAGAACAGAAATGTCATCTAATGCTCTGTCGGAAGATTTCGTTCTGCTATAATATAATGGTTCCTACTCCCACGTTCTCCCCTCCTCCAATCCCTCAGCTCCACCCAGGTAACCTGTAATAAAGAGTGCTAAGCATAGAGACACCTCAGGAGAGTGTTTTGCAAAGGAGAAGGTGGAGCAAGGGAAATACTAAAGGAAATATGAGCCCTGACAAGTAAGTTCACGAACTCATCCTAGAAAAAGTGCTATATACCTCACTGCTGAGTATCACTCCCGTCACCAGATGGTGAAGAAGCAGCACTTCCAAAGTGACTGTAGGGATAATGGACCAAAAATGACAAATGACACAGACGTGCTGAATTCCCACTGTGACACGGAGAGTCAGCTGACCCTGAGAAAGCTTAAACACAGAGATGATAACTATGAAACACCAGACAGAACATCTCTTAAGAAAATGTCAAGGTGCCTGGGGCCAGTCTGACAGGCCAGAGGGCTCTGACTTCTTAGAGTAATGGAACACGTCACTTTTTTTAAAAAAATTAAATCATAGCTGTGTACATCAATACAATCATAGAGTACATGTATTGGTTTTATATACAATTTGAAATATTTTCATCAAACTGGTTAACACAGCCTTCATAGCATTTCTTAGTTACTATGTTAAGACATTATATTTTACATTTAGTAAATTTTGCATGTACTCTTGTAAGATGCACCATAGGTGTGGTCCCACCCATTACTTTCCCTCCACCCATCCTCCTCCCTCCCATTCCCACCCTCCCCTCCCTCTCCCCTTTCACCATATTCTTGGGCTATAATTGGGTTATAGCTTTCATATGAAAGCTATACATTGGTTTCATAGTAGGGCTGGGTACATTGGATACGTTTTCTTCCATTCTTGAGATACTCTGCTAAGAAGAATATGCTCCAGCTCCATCCATGTAAACATGAAAGAGGTAAAATCTCCATCTTTCTTTAAGGCTGCATAGTATTCCATGGTGTACACATACCACAATTTATTGATCCATTCATGGGTTGATGGGCACTTGGGCTTCTTCCATGACTTAGCAATTATGATTTGGGCTGCAACAAACATTCTGGTACAAATATCTTTGTTATAATGTGACTTTCGGTCTTCTGGATATATACCTAGCAGAGGAATTGTAGGATTAAATGGCAGGTCTATTTTTAGATCCCTAAGTGTTTTCTAAACATCTTTCCCAAAGGAACGTTTTAGTTTGCATTCCCACCAGCAGTGTAGAAGTGTTCCCTTTTCTCCACATCCACGCCAACATCTCTGGTTTGGGGATTTTGTGATATGGGCTAATCTTACTGGAGTTAGATGATATCTCAAAGTAGTTTTGATTTGCATTTCTCTGATGATTAAGGATGATGAGCATTTT